AGGTGATGCTCGCAACGTACGGAGCTCTCGGCCTGCCTCGGACAACAACTGAGCACCTCTTGTTCCCGAACAGTGGCCGCGCGCATATCAAGCGTGCCCTTTCAGCGCTGCTCGACTTTGTAGACGGAAGCGGACTGCGTGAGCGAATTTAGAGAATTCGCGCCCCTTGATTTTGGTAGACGATCTGTGCGTCCCCCCCTTCCTTTGCTCGCTCTCTCCTTGCTCTTTCCTCTCTTCGCTCAAGTCTATTATCCCCCATTCCCCTTCCCATGTGAACCACTGCTGAGGTGTCGCACTTAGCTGCAGACAGTTGCGGGGTTCACTTTTCTTTTCTTTTCCAATTTTAAGAACCACTTCCCCCAGCAGATCCGGGTTCTAGCCGTACTGTGTCTTTGGTGCTAGGTCTGCTAACAAGTCACAAGCACCGCCGTAGCACAGTGGTCGAATACTTGACTCGCACCCAGCGGACCCGGGTTCAAGCCCTACTGTGTCTTTGGTGCTATGTCTGCTAACAAGTCACAAGCACCGGCGTAGCTCAGTGGTAGAATATTGGACTCGCACCCAGCAGACCCGGGTTCAAGCCCTACTTTGTCTTTGGTGCTAGGTCTGCTAACAAGTCACAAGCACCGCCGTAGCTTAGTGGTCGAATACTTGACTCGCACCAAGCGGACCCGGGTTCAAGCCCTACTGTGTCTTTGGTGCTAGGTCTGCTAACAAGTCACAACCACTGGTGTAGCTCAGTGGTAGAATACTGGACTCGCTCCCAGCGGACCTGGGTTCAAGCCCTACTGTGTCTTTGGTGCTAGGTCTGCTAACAAGTCACAAGCACCGCCGTAGCTCAGTGGTCGAATACTTGACTCGCACCCAGCGGACCCGGGTTCAAGCCCTACTGTGTCTTTGGTGCTAGGTCTGCTAACAAGTCACAAGCACCACCGTAGCTCAGTGGTCGAATACTTGACTCGCACCCAGCGGACCCGGGTTCAAGCCCTACTGTGTCTTTGTTGCTAGGTCTGCTAACAAGTCATAAGCACCGGCGTCGCTCAGTGGTCGAATACTTCACTCGCACCCAGCAGACCCGGGTTCTAGCCCTACTGTGTCTTTGGTGCTAGGTCTGCTAACAAGTGACAAGTACCGCCGTAGCTCAGTGGTCGAATACTTGACTCGCACCCAGCGGACCCGGGTTCAAGCCCTACTGTGTCTTTGGTGCTAGGTCTGCTAACAAGTCACAAGCACTGGTGTAGCTTAGTGGTAAAATACTGGACTCGCACCCAGCGGACCTGGGTTCAAGCCCTACTGTGTCTTTGGCGCTAGGTCTAGCTGCTAACAAGGCATAAGCACCGGCGTAGCTCAGTGGTCGAATACTTGACTCGCACCCAGCAGACCCGGGTTCTAGCCCTACTGTGTCTTTGGTGCTAGGTCTGCTAACAAGTCACAAGCACTGGTGTAGCTCAGTGGTAGAATACTGTACTCGCACCCAGCAGACCCGGGTTCAAGCCCTACTGTGTCTTTGGTGCTAGGTCTGCTAACAAGTCCAAGCACCACCGTAGCTCAGTGGTCGAATACTTGACTCGCACCCAGCGGACCCGGGTTCAAGCCCTACTGTGTCTTTGGTGCTAGGTCTGCTAACAAGTCATAAGCACCGGCGTAGCTCAGTGGTCGAATACTTGACTCGCACCCAGCAGACCCGGGTTCTAGCCCTACTGTGTCTTTGGTGCTAGGTCTGCTAACAAGTCACAAGCACCGGCGTAGCTCAGTGGTCGAATACTTGACTCGCACCCAGTGGACCCGGGTTCAAGCCCTACTGTGTCTTTGGTGCTAGGTCTGCTAACAAGGCACAAGCACTGGTGTAGCTCAGTGGTAGAATACTGGACTCGCACCCAGCGGACCTGGGTTCAAGCCCTACTGTGTCTTTGGTGCTAGGTCTGCTAACAAGTCATAAGCACCGGCATAGCTCAGTGGTCGAATACTTGACTCGCACCCAGCAGGCCCAGGTTCTAGCCCTACTGTGTCTTTGGTGCTAGGTCTGCTAACAAGTCAAAGCACCGGTGTAGCTCAGTGGTAAAATACTGGACTCGCACCCAGCAGACCCGGGTTTCGAGCCCCACTGTGTTGTTAGTGCTCCGCGCAGGTCTGGCGTTTTTTTTTTCAATTTTTGCGTGTTGTGGTTACAGACACCAGCGGCGGTGGCAGTGGACAACTGCGCGGGACCCCAAGTTGTGATGTCATAACAGCTTCCACTGTAAAAAATCGGTAGATGCCAAGTACAGTTAGAATTAATGATATTCGAAGCACGGATGACGGGGGTTGATTTGTCACAATAAAATCAGTACAAACGTTATAAGGCGGATGGTAATTTTTACGTACATGACTTCCATGTCTTCATTATCATGTTTAACAGCATTGAAATTTGGGTGAGTTTGTACTTGAACGTGCGTGATAGCTCTTAGGTGATAGCTGTCCTCCAGAGTTTTTAGATTGTAGTTTCACGTATGTGTTTCCGTGATCCGTGTAGGATTAAACCTGTTTTTTGTGTGAATAAACATTAGTTTAAAGTGAGCGCTCGTCTGTATGCCTCTGTCTGTCGTTTTTTGTCGGTTTACGCGCTCGAAATGCCACCATAATTATCATGCTTGCGCCTATAATTGGAATCAGTCGTCCAATCGCATCACGTAGTATGGATATAGGTACATCAGAAGTTAGAAAAACGGCCGCAAGCATGCTCTGAGCGTAGCATGCAATCATGTTTTACGTGACACGCTTGTCATGACTATCAAGTTTTAGCCCCGCCATGGTGGTGTAATGGCTAACGCACTAGGCTGCTCACGCGCAGGTTGCGGGATCGAATCCCGGCGGCGGTGGCTTCGTTCTCGATAGATGCGAAAATGCTGTAGGCCCGTGTGCTCAGATTCGGGTGCACGTTAAAGAACTCCAGGTGGTCGAAATTTCTCGAGTCTTCCACAACGACGTCTCTGATAATCATATGGTGGTTTCGGGATGGTAATACCCACATATAAAATCGATGATGGTTATGTTTGGATGTGTCTTTAATCTTGCTCCTCTATTCACGTGACGTAATACCAAATTTGGTATATGTCAAGCTGGCGAAACGACCGCGAGCGCACCATGAGCGTGGCGTGTAGCCATGTTCTTACCTGACACGCATGTTATGATGCTCATGTTTGCTTCAGTATAAGCCTTGATCATTCATTCACGTCCCCGATTTGGTGTATGAGAAGCTACCGAAACGACAGCGAGCCCCTCTTGAACGGGGCATGTAGTCATGTTCTTATATGACACGCATGTTACGATTTCCACGTAAGGGCCTGCCACTTATGATCTTCATGCATTCATGTCAAACCATACTACTTTTGTAATATGACATGTGAATGAAACCACCGCCGGAGCACAAAGACCATGGCATGTAAACCATGACATTCATGACATGCATGTCATGATTTTCTCGTTGAGACTTGTCACGTATGTTCTTCATACAGTCATGTTATGCCGTATTAGTTTTGGTATAGATCCCTTTACGGAAACGGCGAGGAGAGTTAAAAGCCGTAGGTTGCTAAATAGATAGATAGACAAATACCGTGAAACTCACCGAAGTTCGCTGATAAATGCTTCGCATTAAAAACGCTAATCGTTTATTCCACTTGCGAAGCGGGAGCAAGTTTTCTTGCTCCACTGCATTCCGCTGGTCAATTCAGAGCAAGCTTGTGTTTTTCTGTGGCACAATGGGAGCAGTTTACTCTAGTACGAAGTATGCTGCGTTATTCCGTCTTGTGGACGGATATTTCGCCAGAACTCCGGCAACGCGGTGCTGCCATTTTCGATGCTGTAGGGTACCTCGCTGTCTTCATATTTTTTTAGGCGGGGTCTTATCACCCTGTGTGCTTGTTTACATTACCAAAATGTGTCGTTTGTCTTTGCTTCCTGAGCTGCTAATTTGCGTTTTGCTCGAAGCGATAACGCGAACAGAAATTCTGACAGCAGTAGCAGCGGCAATGACGACGAACCGTTCGTGAAAGTGAATGTTAAAGAAACGTCCCTGACCCGTTGTACGCCCAACAAATATCATCGGCTTCTTTTAAAAAGTTCCTGAGCTGGTTTATGTGGTGTGTTGGTGTACAACTTCCGAAACTACCTGACGCGGAGCAGTTACGTGCGCCACTGGCACTAGTCGAGGTCTTGCTGTAGGATTTTGGCGGCTGCTTCAGATCTCTAAGCATAACTCGCCACAAGTGACTCATTCAAATATTTTAAGCAAGGAGTCATCCGTTCCAAAGTTGTGGGGCGCACCTTCGACCGAAGGGAAAAGTTTGATTTCCAAAAGCCCGTCGGGTGTTTCAATGGCTCTCTATCTACGGCCGATACACTCGACAGGATTTTGTGAATTGACGGCCTATAAATAAAGTAAGATTAGGGGCCTCCTACAGCAATCAAGTGCAGTATGTGTGGGTTGTGGATTATGTCGTACATGATGTACATATTCTTTTCGTATTAAGGTAAAGAGCTGACAATCCCGCAGTCGACTTTATTAAGATTCCAACAGATTCATGATCCAGACCCATGAGCAGCGGGAAAGCTGCTCTGTGGTGTTATATATCAGAAAAGCTTGTGGGGGGGTAGTTGGAACATACTGCAGGAAAAGTCTTTGCAGCGCAGCCTTTTTCTGGAGTATTATATTGTTGATTGATTTTGTACTTTGTGAGATTTCTATTACGTGCTTTCAATATTATCAACAGCATTGCATTGCTTATGCAATAAACTAGTAGCCAGAGATGAATGACGGCTGCTTTCGGCAGTACCAGTTTCTACAGGAACCATATCGTCCGCGGTAGCAAATATTTTTGGACCCACGAGAATGCTCAAGTGTGTTTGCGTGATTATGGGCTGTACAATAATGTCTTGCTGGTATATTATCAGCATACCTTGCAAATATAAAAGAAAAAAAGTAAAAAAAACGCATATCTTCTTGAAACTGCTCCTGTTTTCAGGCTTTACCCCACCATTCCCGGAGTTCACCGCAAACTGGATCACGATGTGGTGATGTCTGGCTACGCAATACCGAAGAACGTGAGAACATATTTTATTTATTTTGTAAAAGTAGCCCAGTATAATAGCCCTGTTTTTGTGTCCTCATACCAATGTAAACTACTACTATCACTTGCTTCGTCAACTAAAACTATATTATTTAGTTTGTGCCGTTGCAAGAGAAAAAATGCCTCGGTTGTATCGAATAATAGGGCCCGAAATCCTTCAAAGTGCTGAAAATTCGAGAATCGTAAGAACCTTGCGTATTTGTCGGCGGCAGTTCTTAAGACAATTGTTATACGAATGAAAACAAACAATATCTTATTTCGAGAAGACAGGCGGTGAAGTAAAATGAGAGTCTTTCTGGCATACACCCTGCTGCCCCTTTGAGGTCACGAAAAAGCAGTCATTCATCGCGTTAGCGAAAGCTGGGAATGAGAACTATTCAGTGGGCATGACAAATACCAAGCAGCTGAGAAGACCACGCACACCGAACGTTGCTTTGAGCGAGTTGGCTAAAGGTCAAACTTTTGGGCTTCAGCTCTATGAAACACGTGGACTGTGAGGTACACAGAAGATATGAGACAGCGCCCGTCATGCCTACTATTATTTTATACCTCTTTGTCCTTGTGTTTCATAGCGCTGCACCCCAAAATTTTGACATAGCACGTCATGCTCTTTCGAGGCCTGTAAAATGATGAATCAATCTCTAATAGCGGACACGATGGGGTTATATATCTCCCTACAACAAAGCGCAAGGTCGGGCTATTGGGTCTTGATTTATATCGTGTGGAATTGCACGGCGAAGAACACTATTATGAAACACAAGAAGCACAATCGTATAGCGCTGGCACTCGGTCATTCGGTCAGCCAGTGATTCAGTCAAAAAATCTTATTCGGGTCCTAAGGAACTACAGAGTCGTAGTTGCGGGCCTTACCCACATTGGGGCTGAAAGACCATAGTCATCCGCCCATTCGCGGGCCCTTTCGACAACCCTTAGTTGTTGCTGGAGATCGCCGCTTTTGAAGGCTTCCCCCAAGTCGTTTTGTTTATGAAGGCGCATGCTGTAACACCGACAATCGCCAGAGCATGTGCGCTAATTACCTGTACTATTCACGGCACTCAGGGCAGAGTGGGTCGAAGTTCAAAGCAAAGCGACTAGATCTTTTTGACGGGAAAGGTCCCGTTTGTAACATTCACACTGTGGACGACTGCAACTTCCCTGATGGGCTCCAGAAAACCAAGCGATTAACAGCAACCGAAGAAAATTTCAAGAGTCAAGACATCGGCATCCGCAACCCAAGGAAGAGACTCGCCTGTCCTCCTTTTATCTTGAATAATTTTGGTGTTCATTTACTTTCATTTCCTTTTCTTCTTTTAATTTTTTTCTTTCTATCTTTCTCGCCAACAAAAGTGTACTGACTCTTGCCCTATTCATTCATTCATTTTTGTTGATGGACGCTCTTTGTAATGTGGTATGGGTCGGGGGAATTCCATTTGTTTTTTCGTTTAGCTCCACAATGTATGTATGTATGTATGTATGTATGTATGTATGTATGTATGTATGTATGTATGTACATATGTATGTATGTATGTATGTATGTATGTATGTATGTATGTATGTATGTATGTATGTATGTATGTATGTATGTATCTATGTATGTATGTATGTATGCGGACGACTGAGGTGTAGTCAGCTCTCAGTGTGGGATCGGTAATTTCCTCCACCCAATATATGTCAATATTTCGTGAAAAGAGAGTAAGGTTGTAGGAGTTACGCTCACAACCCGGGTTGTCAAATGAGGTTTATAACCTTAAGTGATGAAGAAGATTCATTAGTAAAATCCACACACAGGCGGCAAGCAGATGAAAGCAATTTATATTTTCTTTTCTTTCGTTACTACAAATATTTTCTGTGTGCAATATTTTCTGTGTGCAAACCTCAGTTGAGAGTCAATGCTGTCCCTATGCGCTTCTTCAAGTGTTTGGTACTGTTTGGTACAGCATTCGGCGCAATAAAAGCTCTTACGATATAATTATATATTTACGCCTGTAATTATAAACGTGAACAACGCGCGTTTGTATCGCGCGGTATATATAACAGCGACTGTTTCATTTCGTAGAGATTACATTCAGATGGTTAAAGAACCCCAGGTGGTCGAAATTTCCGGAGCCCTCCACTACGGCGCCTCTCATAATCATATGGTGGTTTTGGGACGTTAAACCCCACATATCAATCAATCAAGCAATTACATTCAGATGTTGCAAAACTACGACATAAAACTCGTGGATAGTCGTAATGGTCCTGGTAAATTCTTCTTAATATTATTAATATCACTTTTTGCGGCTTTGCGTCCAAAAATCAAAATACGATTTTAAAGAAGTGACCCTGGAGAGCGGCGTAAATTTTGACCACCTGGAATTCGCGAACGCGGAGCTAGATCCAAATGGAGCTATATCTATGTTTCATGAACGTGGAGCAAAATTTGTTTATGTCAACTTCATACAGATGTGTTCCCCATGGTAGATATTCAGCCTCAGTACCGTTGTCTGAGCAGCCAGCTTCATAACAAGTAGACAACCATGACGGGTGATGTGGGCAATATATATTTTTGGTCGTCTTGATAGGGTACGAGACTTGCATTCTTCACCACTCCAGGTCCTTTGTTTTCGCAAGCTGCTGTGCCGACCTTTTATCGTTGTGCAGTCGCTACCGGTGGCAGTTCTTAAAGCATTTAGCAGACACTCGCAGAGCTTGCTTCGCCGAAATTTTGGTGTTGGCGTCGTAGTTGTAGACGAAAATTCGACGTTGTCCGTGAGAGAACATTCGAGATTCAAATAAAAGACTCGCAAGGTCTCTTATGCACTCGCCTTACACGACTGGAACGCGAAATTCGTCTTTTCCCCCTTTAGTTGATGTAGAGTTTCTGCTTGCTACTCCAGCCCCCAAAAGCTTCCTGTGCCTTAAATTGTTTTTCATTGCCCAAAGAATCTCAGGCACTTCACCTGATTTTCCACATCGTCCACCATCAACTCACCGTTGACCAAGCTACCATTTGAAGTGATCAAACCGTCGTTCCACACGACATCTCCTGACGTAACTATGAAGTCATTAGGACATCATTATAACGTACCACGGTTTGTGGTTTTCTGACGGCATAACTTAATTTCTCTTCATGACTCGTGTGGACGTCGATGTGGGAGGGGGGGGGGGACATGTGGACATCGATGGCCACCTTCGGTAAATTTTCGCATTTGATGAGGCGTTCAAGACTTTCGCCTTGTAAACTTAGGTACGAATGGAAATTGAATCCAGGGCGTGTGCGAGGCATTCAAGTATTCTGCCATAGAGCCCCGCCATAGCTTCGGACTTCGTCTGAAAGTAAATCTTATACGAGTACCATACAATAGGTGGAGTCTCGTCAACGCACATAATGTTGCGTGAAATAAGCGCAGAATCGCAACGAGTGCCGAGATATGGGAATCGCACCTTGACTGAGAGGTATTTAGATTCCCACATATTACAAAGTGCTTAGACATAATTAACCATAAGCAGCAGCGAAAACACATGCAAAGTCAACAGCTGCGAGGGTTCACGCGTTAACTCGTGAATGCGTGAGCGTTACTTCACTGAAAAGCAAAAATAAAGTTTTTCATAGCCGGCGCTTTGGAACTGGCACTAGGTGTATGCATGAGCATTGTACCTAGATACGTTTAAACGGCCGATATTACTTGCACAGAGCCTTGTTTCCTTGCGGCACGGTTGAGGCGTCGAAGAGGTGAAGCGAGGCCACCTATTGAGAATGAGATGCCAAGCGGGCTCGATTACGCAGTCGCGTTCTACTCTTCAAGTAAAGTTCAAGCGCTCTTCAAAATTGATTGAATATATCAAAGCGATTATCGGCTCCCCGCAGAGAGGACTACAGTAATCATTCTTGACTCAACCACCCGCTTGTTTCCCTAAGAGCCGTATAATGTATTTTAGAACTTCTGTAGTACACTCTCTCTTCATAATTATATAGTTATCACACAAATATACGTGTGTTTAATTCTCATGCAGTTTTGAGAGTGTTTTGAAACGGCTAATGCACAGTATTATCATGGTCTATTGTTCAGTAGCCTGTACGAAGTACAGTACCATCGAGCAGTAGCCTGCTTGATGGTTTTGTGGAAGGCTGGGAGATGCGATCTTCTTAATGCTATTCACCTCTCGCCCCGCCGCTGTGGTCTAGTTACTAAGGTACTCTCGGCTGCTGACCCACAGGTCGCGGGATCGAATCCCGGCTGCAGTGGCTGCATTTTTGATGGAGGCGGAAATTCATTAAACTCATGTGCTCAGATTTGGGCGCACGTTAAAGAACCCCAGGTGGTCAAAATTTCCGGAGCCCTCCACTACGGCGGCTCTCATAATCATATGGTCGTTTTGAAACTTTAACTCATTGACTTCCGCGGCCGGCGATCCGCCGGCCGCTACGGCCGAGGCCAAAAGTTCTTTGACCGGCGAAACGCCGGCCACTTAGGAAATTATTGTTTTTCATGATCTTTCATAGATGGCAGCACATTGGTTGGTGTTTGCCTTTTTTTTTTTGATGTGCTCTCCGCTAGATGGACATAGCTGTCCACTGTTGGAGTTATTTTTGCGCGCGTTTGGAGCTGTTTTGTGTGCGAAGTGAGCGAGGCGATTGCGACCGGTCTTGTTCAAAACATGGCATCGCGGCGAAAGCGTGGTTTGACAGAAAACGAAATTTCGCAACTTGTGTTTGACAGCGACGCCGAAAGTGACATTTGTGATGATGAAGATGTTTCATTAGACGATGGGGAGGATCATGGTGATGAAAGTAGTAGTGATGAGGAGGAGGAGGAGAACGTGTGTGCAGCAGAAGATCCACTGGATACTTTGCCGCCTTCTCCAAAGGCGCGAAAGATGGAAGAATGGCAATGGGAAGAAGATGACAGTGTGGAAAATATTGTCAAGCACTCCTTCAGCGGCCAGCCTGGCATCAAGAGATCCATCGAGCTTCAAGTAGGAGGAAGTCCAACT